GTTTATGAAATCAACGTCGTGTTTTTATCTATAACAGAATAACAATATTGTATAGTATTGTGTTTATACAGGTAACAAAAGAGTCCATTTGGGGCCATTGGAAGTTCGACTGAACATTGTCGTTAATTTTGCATTGAAATCATCATAAGCCGTGTAGCTGTGCAAACGTTTTTTTTTAGACTTCTCTTCAGCCGTTGAGTAACCTACTGGTTAGGGCGTTTGGCTTGCAATCTGTGGGTTATGGAATAAAAAACCCAGCACTGAACGTGCTCGCAGTTTCAGTCGTAGAGACGTTACAATGCTATGGTCAATCCCACTATTCGTTGGTAAAGAGTAGCCCAAGAGTTGGAGGTGGGTGTTACCGGCTGGTTGTCTTCCCTCTGATCGGCTGTTCAAAATTAAGAACAGTGGTAGATATCCTTAGTAACTTTGCTATAAACAACTAAATAAACATCCGTTGTGTTTATGAAAAATGTTCAGAAATTATTTTTTAAATGTATTCACATTTATTGAATCTATGAAGCTTTATATACACACTATCCACCAATTTCATAAAATTCTGATACCCGCTGTAACAAAGGCTCCTGTCTCTGAAACGGAATGAAACAATTTAATAAATAATTTCAGAACTCCCCATATTCATTTATCGAAGGTTTTACGTATTTAAATGCTATATAACTATTTGGTATAACTTATACATGTCACCTTCCCTTGGACATATATTTGTTTTGTTTGCTCTATTTCGGATATTAGCCGTCCTTAATTTTGAACTGACAGACTATAGAAAAGAGAACTAGTCAACAGCACTCATCGCCAGCTCTTGGGCTGCTCTCGTCTGAAGAAATAGTGGGATTTGGCTATCACTTTCATAATACATTCACGGCCCCAAAGTGGGAAGCATGATTTTTCTTTTTTTTGGGCGGTAACGGGACATGAATGTTGGATCTAGAGGTTCATATTCCAGCAAGTTAACCACTGGATCATGCATATTATTTATGCGGCGTTGTATAAGGAAATAAATAAAGGATTTAATACGGAATCCCTAGCTTCTTTGGGCAAATATTTTTATTTTACTTACCGGACTGTACGACGAGCCTGTAAACAAAATGGAGACTCGCCAGTCTATGCTTTATTTATTCTCCAAAAACCTTTACTGCTAGATAAATGGTATCAAAGTTTTTAGGAAACGTGTATGTCATAATCACGTTTTCTTTACGTACTATAAATGTGTGTGTAGCAATAATCTGCTTGTTTATTTATCACGTACATATATATTGATACATTTCCCCTAGGGTGAACGGTGTTTGAACGTACACAGCACGAATGTTCCTAGATAAAATCGACTTACTTCTATTTAGAAAAAGTTGTCAGTTTTGGAAGTTGTTTATCGGACAACCTGCAGGGTTGTTAAAACTGGAATATTTTCGGAGGTTTAATGTCTCTAAATACTTACCTGTGCTTTTCACTTGTTAACTAAACACACTTAAGTTGGTACATTTTACCATAACGACCAGGTCAGAGACACCCAAGGTTTAGACATTAACCTCCCTGATTTAGAACTGCAGACCAGAGAGAGAAGGTAACCAGTTAGTAGCGCGCACCGTTAATACGGCTGCTTTTAGCCAAATAGCAAGCGGGAGTGGTTGTTATGATCATAACGTTTCCACAGCTGAAAGTGCAGAGCGTAATTAACGGCATATCGCGGCTCAAACCATGGATCTTTCGATTCGAAACCCGGCACGTTAACTAAATAAACACACACTGAGAAGTGCTTGCGACGGAAGTGAGAAAACCAGAAGACGAAAGGAACACATTGAAACTTATGACATAATTTAATAAATTGTTTTATAGTTATTGCGCATTTCTGGACAACAGTATCCATTGCCTGTTGCTTTACAATTAGGAAAATGGGGTGTCGGGAAGTATTGAAACGTAATATACAACATAGGATGTACGATTTCTTTGGCGAGTTGCGGGTTCGAATCTCCGTCACACCAAACATGCTCGCCCTTTCAGCCGTGAAGGCGTTATAATGTGACTGTCAATCCCACTATTTGTTGGTTAAAGAGTAGCCAAGAGTTGGCGGTGGGTGGTGATGACTAGCTGCCTTCCCTCTAGTCTTACACTGCTAAATTAGGGACGGCTAGCGCAGATAGCCCTCGTGTAGGTTTGCGCGAAATCCACAACAACAAACAAACGATTTCATTGCACACACACGCAAATTCACGGGTAATAAAAAAAACCTACGAAAAACACTGTATTAACATTACTCAAGCACACATAACAGGGCTTGCAAATGCTTTTTTCTAACAGCCCTAGTTATCCATCAGTGTTGTTTACTGATCCTGTAGTACTAGCTTTTCATCTTAATTAATAACTGGCCCTTGCCGATAAAGATCAACAGAGAGAGGCTATTGTTTAAATCTTTCATCCAGCTAAATACACAGAATGTGTGCTTCAGGCTCTTGAAGGCTGCGGTGGCTACATGCGGGTTCCTGGGTTACCGCACCATTCAGCCTCTAGGTGATACGGTAATTTATTTTTGTTTTGTTAGAAAAAGAATTGAAATCAAGTTGATCTCTCTTCAAGTTCGTGAGACTCGAGTTTGTCGGGGTGGAGTCACTGGTGTTCATCTAGCAAGCACTGAGTAGGTAAAGGTTTGTAAATCTAAATCATCTTTGTCGCAACCAGGTTTGTTTTGTTATTAAGCGCATAGCTACAGAATAGGCTATATAAGCTGTATAGGGAACGAACGTCGAGTTTTAACGTTATAAGTGTTCAAGCTAACCGCTGAGCCGCAGGGGAACTGCACGTGATGTTTATCCTGAATACCTAAGTTTGCCCGTGTAGTATATATATATATATATATTCAAAGCATCATTAGGTTCGAAATATCGCGTCTTTTTATTCATTTTTGTTTCAGTAGATTTGTAGCGCTTTCAGAGCTTTAGCCATCCTAATTAAATACGTAATTTTTAACATATATAAACAAATACATCTCACTAAATATATTTTAGAAATCAATATAGATAATAATTATATATTATCTAAAATCCATACATAATAAAAACTTGTAAATAAAACACAACTAAAAACGCAAGAAATCCACTAGTTATTCAAATAAGCTTCAAATTACCTCTAATTTTTTTTATAAAATAATTTTCATAAAATAATTTGTACATCTAGCACTATAAGAAGAGTCGTAAGTAATACTAATGATATTGTAGCTAATAAACAACCTAAAAACTTGAACAGTTTACTTAATTATATATATAATACTAATAATAATATCGGTGTAAAACTCGGGATGTCATCTCTGTAATCTAGCTTATTTTACCCATATTAATATTATTAGAAACACAAACACAGATGGAACTATTATGTTTGAAATCAAAAGATCTTTCTCTTGCAGTTCGAAGAACTGTATTTATATGTTAAAATATGCAAATTGTGGTCAAACTGAAAATTTAAGATTTAGAATGAACCAACATAAGTTTCATGTTAGAAACCTAAGTCAAAGTTCATTAAAAAGTTCAGAACACTTTCACAACTGCATCTCGAGTACCCCTAACCTACAACAAGAACTTTCTTTTTCCATTTTGTAATAATTAACAAAAAAGTATGGAATTAATTTGAATCTTATTTAAATAATTTGTGGATTTTTTGGTGTTTTTTAGTTATGTTATACTTACAAGTTTTAAATGTTTATGGAATTTATATAATCATTACTTATATTAACTTTTAAGATATTTTTACTGGGATGTATGTGTTTTACATATGTTTTGATTTTGTTAAAAATTACGTATTTAATGTATTATATTTAATTAAGATGGCTGAAGATTAGTGCTAAAGCTGCGAAAGCGCTACCTTCCTACCGAAACAAAATAAATAAACAGATAGTTCGAACCTGATGGTGCTGTGGTGATTGCTATATATATTTATTTATTACGCTTGAGAAGATCGCATCGTTATCGATAGATACATACACACCTTTTTAAGCTATTATCTCATTGAAAAAAAAATGTTAAGAAATGTTTTTTAATTTTATTTACCATCATTTTTTTTTGGTTTCGGATAATAGTAAAAAGCCTCGAGTTTGAAGTAATTTCCTATCTTTGCAAGTCGTGTGTACATACATACTGATTGTTCCATTTTTTCTATGGCCCGGCATGGCCAGGTGGCCAGCTCAAATCGCAATCTGAGGGTCGCGGGTTCGAATCCCTGTCACACCAAACATGCTCGCCCTTTCAGCGTTATAATGTGACGGTCAATCCCATTATTCTTTGGTAAAAGAGTAGCCCAAGAGTTGGCGGTGGATGGTGATGACTAGCTGCCATCCCACTAGTCTTACACTGCTAAATTAGGGACAAAACAAACAAACCATTTTTCTACACACGTGCCCACTCGTATTCTGTCTCGTGTTTTATTAAAAATTATGTTCACGTCTCTAAAGGAAATCACGTACCGAATAATATCAAAACGTTTTAAACTTTTGGAGATATTTTTTATTTTAGTTCACTAATGAGGTATATATCTGACGCAGATGTAGCTCACGATCGTGTGATAATTAGGTATATATTTGACGCAGATGTAGCTCACGACCGTGTGATAATAAGGTATATATTTGACGGAGATGTAGCTCACGACCGTGTGATAATTAGGTATATATTTGGAGCAGATGTAGCTCACGATCGTGTGATAATTAGGTATATATTTGGCGCAGATGTAGCTCACGACCGTGTGGTAATAAGGTATATATTTGACGCAGATGTAGCTCACGACCGTGTGACAAAAGGTATATATTTGACGCAGATGTAGCTCATGACCGTGTGGCAAAAGGTATATATTTGACGCAGATGTAGCTCACGACCGTGTGATAATAATCACACGGTCGTGAGCTACATCTGCGTCAAATATATACCATATTATGACACGGTCGTGAGCTACATCTGCGTCAAATATATACCTTGATCAGTTTTATTTTTTTCACTTATAAACAGATTCCAACTCCAAGCAAAGTGGCTGCACTAACTGAGTCAACTCTTGGCGCCCTCTATCACCCTTTCTACTTTGTAAGGACTCAGCTCGTGAGACAGGCGCGTGACATACTTCTGTGCCGGTTTTTCGGGGACTTCACGAAATTTTGTGAAGAGTTTTTACTTCCAGCCGGATCACTACTACAAAGAATCCAGTTCAAGGTAGGCTAATTTAATACGTGTAGCTGCAATTTTGTTTTGTTGATGAATGAATTATACTTTACGTATTCTCAGTCTTTTCTTGTTGAATTGCGTGCATGAAATGATTTCAAATTCTGGAATTTTTGTTGTTGTTTTGTTATTCGTGAATTGACTCTGGACTTTGGATGGAAGAGATTAATTGTTGTAATGGTTGACATTGCAATAATAACATGTTCTATCTAAACAAAAATTATTTTTTCTTTTGTGTTACTATTCAACATGAGATAAATCAGTATTGAAGGTTATGTCGAAAGTAAGTGTGTATTTTTTTTTTACCTTTGAATATTTTTATAAAAGTTAACCAGTGTTTTGCAGACATTTTAAATCTGTTAAAAAAGAACCAGAAAACAAAGTTAATTTACTGAAATAAAGTAGCATTTAAAATTATATTGTTGTCTTTTTTATATTAATATATCCCCAGCTTTAAAAAAAAGCACCCAATTAAGACTATTCCAGTGTTGTTTTTGTTTAAAGGATAACAATTCCGTTTTTAAGAATGTTCATATCACAAAAAATGTTACCTAAAAACACACGAGGAATGTGGATCGAAAAAAACAAAAACACAAACGTAAAGTCCAACATACACGAGGAAACACGCTTCTTTGAAAGACCTTTCAAACAACACTTGAAATTTCTGAATAATTTGACCTCACGAAGACCTGCTCTAGCAGCTCAAAATTCGTCCAAAAACATCCTCAACATTAATTAAATATTAAAAAGAATTATGTTACTAAAAATTCTTACAAGTTTTTTTTATCGGTTGTACATAGTAAAACTTTTATTTTGTTCACAACGTTTGTTTTTTAATTAATTTCTGTTAGCCTCAGTTCTTGTAACTCACCTGATGATGCCAGCTAAACCTGGTGAAACGTTGTGAACAAAATAAACAAACGTTTTACTGTGTACAATCGATAAAGAACTTGTGTGAAAAAACAACATTAGTGTTGGATGAATACATTAACGGAATGTTTGATGTTCGAAGACATTCTTTGATGATTCGTTTTTTGTTTTTCGTTTTCTTTTATTGTTACTATGTGAATGTAGTGCGTGCACTCGAATATACGGACAGAAACTAGGATTTCTTTAGAAGCATATAGTTTACAATGACATATCTATCATATAATTAATAAAATGTTTTTTTTATAATGTTAAGGTTTATTTTTTTATTTTCAAATAATGCATAATAAAGACATAATATTGATACTGCTATAGAACAGTTCATTAATATTACGTAAATTGTACCCCTATAACTTTCCGCCTAGGTGTTGTTACGTAAACTGAACCAAAACTAGATATTTTGCACACGAGTGTAAGATACGTTATATAGAACATGGATTACTTTGTTTAACTTTTCGTGTAATTAATTCATGCTTGTTTGGGTAAATGAAGCCAACTTCTCATCCTGAAGTTTAAATAACATTCATATACTGGATGTCCGTGTTTGAGTAAGCCCCGGACAGAGGGACGGGACAGGTTATGAAGGTCATCAATCTAGGTCAGGACAGGATAATTGATGGGCTAGTCGTGCTGCTAACCTTAAAAATGACTGAAATACTAGTGGTTTTATCGAGTCAACCAATGAGTAATGAACTGTAGTATTAACAACCCTGGATCTGTAGTTTGGATCAACACGAAAAGCACTGTAGAGTCTCTGAACAACAACAACAACAGAAAACGTCTAAACATTTTAAACTGTAGGATATGATTAAGTGTCTTTTAAGGTGTTTTTAATAAGCTCGTAGAGGTTTTAGTTATGAACAGATAAGTTATATAACACCCATGGAGAGGATGGTAACTTGAAAGCAACCCAAAGTTTATTATTAAGATTTTACTTTACATTGAGTTTGTACTTCCTTCACTCTAATACTGCATATCGTACAAGTATTGCCAGATTATTGTCACACTAATACTGAATATCGATGAAGTATCGCCAGATTATTGTCACGACAATGCTGAATACCGTTGTGATGTCGCCAGGTTATTGTCACGC